AGAGTTCCTTTTAAGTTGTTTGCCTGTCGTCTGTTTAACGAGCGGAGAAGGGGGGACAGAACAGGATAGCATCCAAATTTGAAAAGAGTACTGTGAAAGACAGCTGCAAAACAAGTATTGCACTGAACTAAACCGGACATTCTGAAATGAAATAAAATTGCAATCTCAGGCACATTTACCTTCAATGTACTGTATTCTTGCTGTTTTGGATTTTTAGTTATACGATTTGTGCACTATTAGACACATGGGCCACTACCTTGCTCCTCTGCACTTCTTCTCAATTCCCCTTAACTCACAGTTAGCAGCTCTTCCCAGCAGCCTCAAGTCTTTGCCACAAGTCTTAAAGACTATGAAAAAGCTGCAGGGTATATATTCTATTTTCATTCATCATAATGGAATAATCAAGATATAACTCTTAAGTAAGACCAAATATGTAACAAAACTGACATCCTTCTCTGAATGAATAATTTGACTTTTAGGTTATGCAGCAAAATATTCCTATTTCTTCTAAACTTCAGTTGCAATTTAGCAAAACATGCAATGTGACAGGTTAAGGAAGGCTTTCCTAATTTTTTTCAAGACCTCTAGAGATGACAGAAGATACTAAACCTTTACCATCACACCTCCATTTAGTGTAATGTTCAAACTTAACAATAGTAATGAATGAGTGGTACTCATGACCAGTCCTTGAGGTTCTGGCCATCACAGCTCCCTGCACTAATGTGTTCACAATGTGCAACCTTCCCTACTTTCACAGCTGCTGTGAACAATAATCCAATGCAGCATATCTTTTTCCAAGAAAAGTCACGAGGAGAAGAACATTTTTACCTGGTCCAATCTTGCAGAACTTTTTCCTTGACATTATGGGACCAAATATATATTCAATAGTTTTAGGCATGTTCTAACTGCCACAGGTCCTGGTGTGGAAACCTTTCATATTATTACTCACCATCTGAAAGCACTTCGTAAGCCTCAGCAACTTGCTTGAATTGTCTCTCAGCTTCCTCTTTCTTATCTGGATTTTTGTCAGGGTGCCATTTTAACGCCAGTTTACGGTACCTGAAATCAAAGCCAGATACTTTATTCAAGAACAATACTGCATGAACAGAAAAACAAATTAGCCTGATGAACTAAGAATTTTAATATTTTAAGTATCAATAGATATACTGATTACCAATGTCAATTTCCTAATACATGATAAATAATTTGCCCATAATAGACTGCTCAAGCTTGCGAGATTTATCTTGCCCCACTTTGCAAGCTCCCAAAGAACTACATGTAGTCCTCGAGTTACGAATATAATGGAAACTGCCAAATACATTTGTAACCCAAGAATTGTAGGAGTGAATCACATAACTTGACCGTGATCACTCCCTGCTTTCGCCCACACATTTGCTAATCAAATGCGCAGGTCATTAAGTGCACATGAGGTATCTCAGGGTGGGGAAGGCCGGGGGGAGGGGCTAGTGATGGAACAGGCCACCTGCTTAAGACGACTGAAGGCCTCCCCTGACCCACTGGGATACCTCATGCTGCTCACAATTGCTTCCCCTGCATCCTGCCATGCGGGGTCTCCACAGGCAGGCCTGTGAAGACTCACTTACTTTAATAAGCTCTTGAGCTGTCTCCTCTCCAGCCTTTCGATGCTTGGCAGATGGTTAATATTTATGACGGTTGCAGTGTCACGGGGTCATGTGATCAACTTTTGCAAACTTCTGACAAGCAAAGTCAATGGGGAAGCCAGTTTCACTTAACAACCATGTTACTAACTTAACTGCAGTGATTCACTTAAGAACTGTGACAAGAAAGGTCATAAAATGGGGCAAAACTCACTTAACAACTGGCTTGCTTACCAACAATGGAGGACTATCTGTATATAACTTGCCACAGCTTTAAAAATGAGTACGTGCCCCTCCTCTCAAGATGGCTGCTGCACAGTAAGGTTTTCCCCCCCTCTTACTGATGATCTGCTGATTTCACTGCTAAAGCTGGTTCTTTGGCAGTGGTGCTCCCTGATTTTGAATGGGAGCACTTAGGAGTGACCCAAGACAACTTTTGGCCGATCGTGGACCCAGTGAGGGTGTGTGTGTGCCTTGAAGATTCCAATTCCCTCTGGAAGCGATTGAAAAGTCACTGGGCATAGAAAACTTCCTGTCAATCAGTTTCATTTTCTAAGCATGCCTGAGTATTCAGTTTCACTTTTTGAATTTGTTTTATTTTGCTTTTTGCTTGAAAAGTTGATTAGCGGTTGAATGCTGATTTATTTCAACCTCTTGCACTGGACTCTAAGCTTTTTCTCTTTTTTCCTTTTGATATATGTTGTTCTGGATAGCCTCTGTCCCTTCTGTATGAAAAGCAGAGCAGCATTCAGGGTGGGGTGGGGTGAAGAGCTATCAAGACTCACCACTGGATTCTGTATTTTTTTGAATTTGCAAAATACCTGGAGTTTATTTCTACTGATTTTTTATTATAACCTTGGAAAACATACTTTTTTTGTTCTTTGTTCCATGACTAGGTTTCACAGATTAAAATGGCTGACAAGTGTCTGAAACCTAAGAAAGGAGGGTGGGGAAATATGCAGCTTCTAGCTGTATGTTTCCTTCAAAAGCTTGACCAAACTATAATGATTGTTCAAAAAATGTTAGGCTCTGAGCTGAAGAAGCTTGTTGGATGAGAAGCAAAACGTGTTCAAAGAAAAATCAGGAAGTCCAGTTGCCTTTTGAAAAAAAAGCACCTTTAGGATCTGAAACTTTATTTTTGGATAAAGATACACAAAAGGACTTTGATCCAGTTCCAGATCAAAGAGATAATCTCACGGCTAGAGAACCAGTAAAGTGGATTTCATCTGCTGTTCCAAAGTTTAACTCTGTATATTTCTTCAACATCATGGCTTTAACTGGAAGGGGGAGAAATTCCTTTCCTCTATGAAGCCTGAGGGAGAAGACGGATTACAGTTAACTGGCAACTAGGTTTGCTTGAACTTTGATTGGAAGATAGACCTATTCTGGAGACTGAATTTACTGTATTTAATTAAACAACAATTGACAAGAGATGACATTAAGAAACAAACATGGATATTTGACCCAGGACGATCTATTTATAACTTTTGGGATGATTTCAGATAGATAAGATGCCGTGGTAAATTTTCTATGAGTGGATTACAATAACAGCTTGTTAACAGTGAGTTTTGAAACTTTAATTTTGTTCTGTTTCACTATTATTGCACTTCCTGTTAACTACTTTGTTATTAATCTAACATATACTGTAGAAGACAGGTCAACAAGTTGTGAATAGATTTAGTAGTTTAAAATTTTTGGGAGGGCTTTGTTTCGCAACGGGTGGGAATTAATGTTGTAGTACTATATTAATCAGTATTCAACTAGAGGGGATAATAATGTGGGTTTTTTGCTTTTTAATGCGTTGTTTTGTGGGTTTTTTTCTTTTGCATTTGAGTTTTGTATTTTGTATTTTAACTTTGTTTTGAATCAAATAAAAATATAAAAAATGAGTACATACGCTTTTTTAATGTCTTCTGGTGAGGCATGTCTATGCACTCCTAGAACTTCATAATAATCCACCATGTTTTACTGTGTCCTGTAAAAGCAAGACTTCATTTCAATATCCAAACACAAATTTATCTTAAAAGGCATGATGAATACCCTGAAAATATGTCTTGTTAAATGACAGCCCCCTACCCCCCCCCAATCATTCTAGAAAAACAGCCCTGTAGTCTAGGTGGCAAAAAAGTCAGCATATTTTTGAATAACAAGTGTTTTTCAATAAAGTTTTTATCCAGATAAGACAGTATCAGTCTTAATAAAAATGAGAAGGCTAAACCAGACAACCATTTTGCAACATATGTGAAATATCTTTTATTTCATCAAAGCTACAAAAATTGTCTTTCGCATCAGACAGGGAGCCTTTTAAGAGAAAAAATGGAACTATTCCATATTCTTATTATATTATTACAATAGAGGTGAGTTTTTTTTTGTTATGGGGCCTCTTCTACTGAAGCTTCCAACTATATTTCCATCTGAATTTTCATTCCAAATATAACAGTACAGTACGTGAATCCTGTTTTTTCTCGTCCTAGATAAAACTTTCACTTTTTATAACACTGTCAAAAGGCTTCCAACAATGGTCGATAGTTTGTATAACACTCAACACATAGAATATGCTAATCAAATTAAATGCAGTCTAGGTCTGTGATGGCACGCAGCGTCCTCTCAGTGAGCACATGAGCCGTCGCCCCAGTTCAGCTCTGCCACACATGTGCGCGCCAAAATGCAATGCGAGTGTAGCCCTTGCACATGCGCACGTGCTCCCCCTGCATGCCCCCTGCGCATGCGCAGCAGAGACAAGCAGCTGGCTGATGCAAATCCAATTTAACAATGTGGCCCAACAAGTAGAAGCAGAAGAGCAGATCCAAGGGTTGCGACAGGCTGGCCACCCCGTGAAAGAGTTCAGGAGAGCAGCCGGTAAACTAAGAGACTGGCCACAACGACTCATGGTGCACACGTTCAAAAATGCATTAGATCCTGAACTGAGAACAGCATGCAGCATAAGGGGGGTTCCAGAATGGATCCAGAACTGGCACACCACCGCAGTCCTTCTGGATCATGAACTCCACCCCCCCCCC